CCCAGATGTCCGATTCAGATGCGGGAATAACTTTACTTTTACTAGACACAGTCCTGGCCTTTATGAAGAAAATCACCGGGAGACTGGATTGAAGATGAATCGATTTGGGGGAGGAACAGGGGGTGGGGGGCGCACAACCAAAATGCATACAATGAAAGGGAAGACTGCTTACAAAATATATACACCTAAGATGGCCGTGGTTGCTATACGTATAAAGTACCAAGTTCAAAAGGCTAAACAGGCAGGTATCAAAGGTATACTCACTTCCAGCACGTTCACACTGGCTTGGTACACCGCATAACCGCCCGCCTGAAGAAGCGTGAGGTATTCTAATAGGCCTCCGACGTACCATTGCTTGCTTTGCTTCAAAGACGCAGGTAACCTGTCGGGTAAACACGTTTGCTGGTCATAACACATTCCATTACCATGTCTCTGATAGGCAGACACCCCTCCTCCCTCCCCCCAAAAAATTCATATATCCCATAGTAATAGTATCATGTCTCTGATTTCGCCCCCCCCCCCCCCAAAAAAAAACAACAACAAAAAAACAAAACAAACAACCCCCCAAAAAAAAAGGAGGGGGGTAAAGGAAGGGAAACGGTATTAAGAAAGTATATCCCTGTTCACCTTGAAGGACAACCAAAGAGAGTGAAAGATAAGAAAAGGGAAAAAGGGACATGTTGACCTTGTGTACGCCAGGTAAAAGAAAGTTTTTCTGCAAAAAACCCACGTTGTAGCCTATACTGCATACTACAGCCTACATAACATCCCATTCAAGCTCAACGAACAGTGTCAAAACGTGAGCACGGTAGACTTGCACTTGTTACATGAAGCAGTGGTGCTGAGATTTTTAGAGCAAGGTTAGGCTGTCTTGGACAAGGACACACCTCTTCTGTAATTCATTCTACAGGTGTGCTCCCTCCGACATTAGCAGAAGCCATTATATTATGTGAACTGCATCCGCAGAGTTTACCGAGCCCCCGTCTTCTTACTACTACTACAACTACTACTGCTACTACTAAGTAGTAGTAGTAGTAGTAGTAGTAGTAGTAGTAGTAGTAGTAGTAGTAGTAGTACTAGTACTGCAGCTGTTACTGCTACTGCTTCGGCTGTTAATGCTGCTGTTGCTGTTGCTTCTGTTGCTGCTGTTACTGCTGCTGCTACTACTACTACTATTAATAATTATACAGCAACTGGGTGGTTAGGTTACTGGACTCGTAATCGTGAGATTGCGGGTTCGGGGTATGGAGCCTCAGCTCGTTCCGACGTTGTGTCCTTGGGAAAGGCACTTTACACGAATTTCCCATTTGGCTCTGTCCTTTCGGAGACGGACCGTTAAACTCGGAGGCCCCGCCTCTTAAATAACCTAATAGTGTTGATAGGGGCGTTAAACCATTTCACCATTTTTCACAGCAACTGGGGGGGGGGTAGCCATAAACATCTTTCCTGACACAAATAGTATGGTATAATATTACCTTCAGAAGTTGTACAATCAGCGGACAGTAATTTGGAATTACCTGAATTATTTTTCTAGAAAGATGGCAAATATTCCGACCTCGCCCATTTTCAAATCTATTACTTTTACGAAAATTTCTTGATAAAGTCTGAAACAATGTAATAACAGCTTGGGTCCAAAATTAAAAAACAAATCACCACAGAAAACACATTTTCACAATTTTGGAGAATATGCACAAAAATAAAGTCTCTGCCTTACCTTTTCTCGTAAATCTTAAGGACAGGTGACCTTCCAAGGTGTGTAGAGCGTCCAATTATCATGTCGTGCAGGGTTTGCAGAGATTCCATAACGCTGCGGTGGAACTTGTTCCCTTCGAATACTTCCTCGGCGTATTCAAGGAATAACTGTGCTGGAACCAGCTGACACTCACTGGTGGAAAACAGTGCATGGACAATTTTAGTTTTAGCTTTAGTGGGGGTTTTACGGCGCTCGTAACTGCATAAGGTCATGCGAGCGCAAAGGGGTGGATGTCAACAGAGAAGTCCTTACAGGGAATCAGGAATTTCTTTGACCCCCTCTCTAGCTTCAACAGCACAAAGTCTGCTTCGACTATCAAGGCAACCCGGAAATATCGGGTCACAAGAGTGTTACAAACATACAAAAGAAGTAGAGGAAAAATGACGATAGTAGGGATGAGGAAAGAAAAGCAGCAGTTCCCAATTGCAGTTCCGGCACAGTTAATGAGCATGACACTGATGAGTCAGCCCATATACATTTCTACTGTGCATAAGAACATGTTAATGTCCCCCCTTAGGGAATGGCCTAAAGACACTTCAGTCAGCAGCGCCGCCCAGGGTATGGACAATTTAATTTTAAAAACAAATTAACAAAATTTCAAAAATCAAAAAATTAAAAACAATAAAACTTAAAGGACGCCAGACACCGTTTTACTTTTTATCACGGTAGCAATTATCTATCTATTTTCCCCTTTCCCCCTTTTTTGAGGGGGGGGGTTAACAATTTCTATAGGTTATCCTTAGTGCATGATTGTATTAGCCTAAGTAGTATGATGGTCACCGTTTGTGCCGTTGCGTGCACAAAACATGAGATCGATTTCCCTGTAGAAATGGGTTGGTATTTGTGGGGATTTTTGGCGGGTTTTTTGTTGGGGGGGGGGCGGTCTTTATAATTGAGTAGGCTGTAAATTATGTATCACCATCTATTTGCCGAGATGTTATTTCAGCAATAGTTTGAACTGTGTGTGAGTGAGTGATGGGTGGATGAATGGAGGGATGGATGGATGGATGGATGGATGGGTGGGTGGATGGATGGATGGATGGATGGATGGATGGATGGATGGATGGATGGATGTGTGGATGATGGATGGATGATGGATGGATGTGTGGATGAATGGATGGATGGGTGGATGGAAGGAAGGAAGGAAGGAAGGATGGACTTCTTGTTCATATACTAAAACAATTTACTTACTAGTGACTGATTCCAAACTGGTTGGCAACAGATAGCATCGACATCAAATGTGACGTAACAGCCCAGAACGGCTCCAAGTCTTGGTGACTATTCACAATTTCACGAATCAAGAGAACGTCTTGAAGCTTTTGACACATTGTAAAAATAGCTCTCAAATCGTTTATTCTCTCTTCATTTCTGTACAGTGTGTCGTTTGGGCATGACTGGAAGTATTGGTAATTACCTGTTTTGGAAAGGATAGAGGAGTCTCATTAGGTCGGCCAGTAATCAGTTACACGTTTTTCTTAAATGAATATAGACGTACGTTGAAAGGTCTCCTTTTAGAGAGGAAACTTTCTTGAAAGTAATGATTTAAACTGTAAAGAATGTCTGACTTATATACATGGTCAGAAGACAATGGCTTTTTGTATTCACCCAAGTCAAGGACTGTTGACCAAATTACTCATATAGTGTTTGGGTTATGTTTTCAAACCCAAGACAAGCAAACTGGACAATCAAGTTTTACTGTTTCTTTTTTGCTCGTTTTCTTTTTCTTCGAATTCTACCCCCTACTCGACTGAGGATGTGGTGGTGGAGCGGTTAGTGCACTCGTCTCCGAAGCAGAAAGTCCGGGTTCGAGCCTCGGTTCGGAGACGGATTTTTCCGCTCCCTCCTACCCACCCAACAGTAATGTGTACTGACTTCGAGTTGGGAAAGTAAAGGCGGCGTGGACAGAAACTGGCCACCCTACCACAATATTAATATGTCAAAGGCCCAGGAAGTTGTCTCATTAACAAGGCAATCCCAGATGTCCGATTCAGATGCGGGAATAACCCTACTTTTACTAGACACAGTCCTGGCCTTTATGAAGAAAATCACCGGGAGACTGGATTGAAGATGAATCGATTTGGGGAAGACGAAAAATTTAGTTTTAGCAAGAATTTTACTTCATTTGAAACAAAAATCATCTATAATAGGTCACATAAGTGCCGAAGTTTAGAGATGTAACTAAAAAATAACAGGAAAGAAAGGAGCAAACCACACCAGAGCACCCGCAAACCACCCACGAATTGGACTCTCCTAGGGCTGAAAACCTCGAACTTTCGCGAGTTTGTCAAGATAAGATTTAATGTACACGTTCTAATTATCCGTAATAAAGCAATAATAGTTGAAATTTGACATCTACTTGCCTAAAGGAAAATTATCCAAGAGCTTTTGGCCAGCGTCGACAGACCACCTACGACTTTTGTCCGCTTTTCGTCTTCGTCGTCGCTGAATCCTGCTGCCGTTTATCTTCCTTTTTGATCCAGAAACAACCGAGTTGTCATGCCGTGAGAGCGTACTTCGGACATCTCCACCGCCACGAGCATGGGGAGAGGGCGTACTGTCAAGAGCCAACATGTTTTTGGAGATGTTAGGAATGTTCTCAGCATCATTTGCCTCGCTCACGGAGTCACTTTCTTCCAGACGGTTGGATTTGTTTGTTGAAGTGTGAACGCCCTGTTCACCATTTATATCCGGGAAGCCTCTTCCTTCGCCTTTTCCATCAGCAGAAACAGGGTCACCGTTGCTGTGGGCTCGTTCTGTGATTATAGCGATGTTATCAGAACTCTCGGCACGGGATGGAATAGGGGTAGTGCCAGAACTGACTTTGTGTCCTGTCTGGCCAGTGTTCATGTCATTTCTTGTGTTATATCTGGTCAGGGCCACGACATCAGACTGCTTTGAAACCGTAGGAGCTGCTGTGGTACCGCCACAAAATACGAGTAAAATAAACAAAGTCGAAGTGAAAATAATCTTTGGATAACTGTCCCTGAAAAAAACAACAGAACAAGACATAGATATTAGTCAAGAAGCTTAATAACACCCACAACAAAGAGAGTAATTCTTAAACGACAAATGAACACAAAATGACAATAAGACAGTAAGACAAACAAACAAGAGGGCCGACAAAACATCAATCCATAACAATGCGCATTAAATTTTGTGAAGTTTGTCTGCCAAATTGCTTTAGTTTCAGTGGCTGGCAAATGGGCACGTTCGTAGTTAACCTTAAAGAACTTAAATATGTAACTATAGCTCTGTAATCAACTTCATAAAGGTCACAAGTGTTTTTTGTGTCGAGTGTGAGTGCCACATTGTTCTTCACTTTCGCCCCCCAGGCAATTTTGTAATTAATAGCCCATTCTCATAAGTGGCTCCCTCGCGTAGACCAAACTGTCCCTCACTTTAACCCACTGTAACGGCAGGCGTGCGTATGAGAAGTATCAGGTCATTCTGACAGCTGTACGAAGTGGGAAGCGGTCACGGTGAAAAGGCTAACTCTAGCTTCAAGCCAATATTGTTCGTTGTAATAAAACAGTTAGAATATAAGGGATCTCAACAAGAAGTTGGAGGCCATAAAAGTGTTTGTGTTATGGCTAATAACTAACGTGATCGAGGTGTTTTCTGTGTTAGTCTTAGCAAGTGTTTTACGGCACTATTGCAAACACAATTTGGTCATAAAAATACGAGTGGCCAAGTTGGTAGGTTTCTTTTTCGCGTTTTATAATGACTGTCAGGCCAAAGAGCTCAAACCAGAGGACTGTTGGATCAGAGAAATGAAATAATGACTGTTGGTATGGTACCAGTGGTCATTTATCTGACTGCGCAACAGGGAATAAGGGTTCTATTTCTGGGGGGTTTTCCTATTGTCGTTGTTGTTTTATTGTTTTGTTGTTGTTGTTGTTGTTTTGGGGGGAGTGGGGATTGT